ACCCTGTATGACATAAGCACTGCCCCATTGTGGGGTTAAGGGTAAGAGGGAACCCCACAAAACATCACAGGTTTGGTAGGCGCAATTGTACAGCGATAATTAGAGATTATAGTAAAGTCATAGAGAGCATGAGAGTTAAAGGATAGAGTCAAGTAATGGAGTCAGACGCAATTCATGGTAGCATATCTCACCTCAGCCCGGCTTGATGGTCCTCGTGGAGGGGGCTTAGCCATCAGAGAAGAAACCGCTGCTTCGTCTTCCTTAGTCACCTTCTCCAGCCACCCTTCTGGCCAGCCACCCTCCCGAGAACCAGGGAGCCTCCTTATTTATTGCTAACCACGCATCATAGAGTCATACATCACAGAAAGGGGCAATACAATTCATTCTAGAACAAGTTTGATCACTCTAGTGTCTCCTCACATAATAAAACAGACAATTACTAGTCTGGGAGGCATGCAAGTTCCCTGATAGTGGACAATAACCTCAGTCACCAGGAGGGATATTAACATAGGCAATACAATCAATAGGAGAGGAATCACCTAGGGGTGTGCCCACATTGGTTGTGGAATAGACAGTGGTGTCTGCTTGATCTAGACAACTGATAATGGCTAACTAACCTTGGTCACCCTTGGGCGGGTTTGCCCTCTCTGGTATCCATTATCCTTATCAGAAGGGAGTGGGTCTTATTCAGGGTGAGTCAGACTAATAGTCTAGCCACTACAGATGGCCAATGTTAAGGAGAATAACCTCTGACCTACTCTCGCTGATCTATTGTACAGTCACTCTTAAGCAGCTAAGTTTGGTACATATTTTGGGGAGACAACTTAAGAGAAATCCTTCTGTTCCCCACACCCCATATAGTCTCCAAGGTTGTAATCTTTATGGAAATAGACCACCACATCTTTGGTTACCAGCAGAACCCACTAACCACTGTGTCATCTGGGTTCCTGGTATTGGAAAGGGCACTGGGTTTAATCAAAATTAGGACTTTGAATCCCAACTCTACTTCTTAACTGGATAAATGCTGGTGTCAAATGCATAGCTTCTTTGGTCCTATTTTTATATTTCCTACCTTGAAAGGTTGCTGTGAAGAGTCAGTGAGAGATAGTTTCTAAAGCACAGAGCCCCCGTCCTGGTCACTATCCCACAATGCAGTTCCACCTGCTTGCTTAACATCTCCCCCATTTGTCAAACAAGCACCTCACGCACTGTATTTCTAAAGTCAAAGTAATGATCTTTTGTAATCTTCTCCTGATATTGCTCTCAGTAAATTCCTTATCATTTTTCATCTATTTCTTTTCATCTACTGCCATGTAACTGTCGTAAATCCCTAGAATACAATACCAAAGTCCTAATTGATCTCCGTCAATCCTCTTTGCAGCCTATTTGGCACATATCAGAAATAAAACTTAACTTCTGTAGCTCCTTTAACCAGAAACCTGCACTAACTCCTACATTGCCAGTCAGACAAAATCTATCGTCTGGACTGGCACTCAAGCCAAGTCTCACTGTACTCTGACACAAGCACTGCTTCTCATCAGCCTCCGGTACTCAGGTTTCCTGATAGCTCGCTGGTGTTACCTTTGCTCCTGCTGTGTCCCCTGTTTTCCTCCATCACTTCCTCATCTCTCAGAGTCACCTGAAATGCAATCTAAGGGATTGAGTTGGAATCATGTAAATATTCCTGGCTTCTTTGATTTCACCATTACCTACCTGTCCAATATTATTTTCCACTTAACAACCTTCTAATCCTGTGTGTCAACTCTAATAAATTACAGCACTGTATGTGTTATCCAGTGCTGCTGTAACAGAAATAGCAGAAGTGACTGGCTCTCACAAACAAAGTCAGGCTCTCACAGAAGACTAGACGTGTGAATTCAGCATCCTGGCTCCAGGGGAGGCATTCTCTGTCCACTCTGGAGAAAGGTCTGTCTTCCCTTCACCATCTGTGGGCTTGGTGTTCCTTGGAAGTTTGCACGTGTCTTGACATCAGCCTTCCTGTAGGTCTAGGTGGTTCTTAGCACAGACCCTGGGTCCAAAAGGCTGTTCATGGTTCTTCTTTCTTGGTGGCAATTGTTCCCTCCTTTTCCTCACTTGGTCTCTTGTAGCATAACAGGCGTGGCAAGCCTGACCACAGGAAACTCCCCTTCAACAGGGCTGGGACCCATCCCATACCAATCCTGCCTCCCTAATGTAACATGTAACCTAATGCTTATTAATATAACCTAATCCTCCCTCATTAAAGAGTCCTGGTGGCACTGTGGGCTAGGCTGCTAACCACAAAGTCAGCAGTTCAAATCCATCAGTTGCTCTGTAGGAGAAACCTGAGGCTGCTGCTCAAGTAAAGCTGTACAGTCTGAGAAGCCCTATGTAGTGTTGCTGTGAATTGGAATGACTCAATGGCATTGGGTTTGTTTTTTTGGTGGCCTTAGTTCTGTCAGGATGTACAATACGTCACAAACTGGATATAATCTAATTATGTCAGATTATAAAATGGAGGACTGTGATGTCAAACTGGGAATCAAGGCTGAGCCAAACTGATACATATTTTCTTTCCTTTTGTGTGTGTGTGTGTGCTATCATTTTATTAGGGGCTCATACAACTCTTATCAAAATCCATACATCAGTTGTGTAAAGCACATTTGTACATTAATTGCCCTCATCATTCTCAAAACATTTGCTCTCCACTTAAGCCCCTGGCATCAGGTCTGATACATATTTTTAGGGAGCACAGTTCAACCGATGACATTCTACTGCCCCCCCACCCCACACACACACAAAATGCTTTTCCTTTCCACATGCAAAACATATTTACCACATCTTAAATCTCCTTCAATTCCAACATGTCATCTTCTGAATCATCTATATCAAATATGGATGTATTTCATCTTGGGGCAAAATCCTTCTCTAGCCGTGAGCCTGTGAAATCTGGATTACAAGTTGTCTCCCATCTCTAAAGTGCAATGTAGAGAAAGCACAAGGTAGACATTGCCATTACACTTGGGGAAAGTTAGAAGGAAAGAAGGGTTAATGGGTATTAGGCATGTCCAAAGCCTAGTAGAACCATTTGCATTAGCTCTTAAGGCCTAAAAGTAGCTGAGTGCTGGCCATTGGATTCTGGATGGAGGCCTCTCAGCCTTGGGCTTCACTTCTGTCTTCCAGACCTACTCGATTGACAACTCAGCTTTGGGCAACTCAATTTTCATAGTCCAATTAAGTGATGACCCACTTCCTTGACCCTGACACATTCTGTTCTTCTGCCCCTTGGGCTGGGCAATCCTCTCCCTTCAGCTTTGGGCATTGGCACTTGTGAAGAGCAGCCCCACATTCCAGAACCAAGTTGGTGAAGATCGGACTCTTTGAAAGCTGTTAGGCTGTAGCTCAATCTTTTCAAACCCCAGAGTTGATGGCCCTACCCTTTGAGAAGGAAGGAGGTCTACTTTTCATGTTGTCTGTTCAGCTTCTGCTTCCTGGTGCCTTTGTCTCTCAGCCCCTCCTGTTTCTTGGGCCAGCCCAGCCACTGCCCTATTCAAGCACGTGCCACTGAGCTTTACAGCTCTATCCATGAGTGCTCGAAGCGGCTCCACTTTGCTAGTGAGCCTTCCCCAAAAGGTACTTGGCTCACTTGTGCCAAGATCCTGGCTCTCCCATGTTCCTGGAGGCATCTTGCTCTGCCAGCAGGCTACCTGCCCAAAGGTGCTCAGCTTTCTTGCTCATCGGTTGGAAGTCTACCACACCATCTCCTGCTGTTCCTCTCATTTTGCTCCCTCTGCTGCTGTCTGTGTCTATTCTCCATCTCACCATCTTTAGTTCTGAAGCTTTCTCTCTCTGTGTGTCCTGGGTCTAGGAGGTTCCCTGCACAGGGACCCCAGGTCTAAAGCTTGTGCTCTCCTACTCCTTTTTTGGTGGGCTTTGTTCCTGACTTTGCCTGTGAGATAAGAGGTGATCCGGCCGCACCACAGGGAAACTCTCCTTACATCCTATCAGGGCTAGAACTTGAGTAAATGTTGCATCCCATCCTGTTCCTTCCTCATGACATAACAAGCATAACCCAATTCCATAGTATTAACTAGGAGGTCAGGATTTACAGCATATCACAAAATGGAGACTATTTTTTATCACAAAATTGAGGACAACCACAATACTGGGAATCAAGTTGAGACATTTTCAAGGGATGTGGCATAGTTCAGTGCATGACATTGCATTTCCCCAGACCTACCATAAACTTTCATAATCCTCTAGAAAATGTGGACTAAATGCTGGTTTCTTTGCCGTCTCAACCTGAAAATTACTCCTTTCTTTAGAGCTGTGGTTAGAACAAAGCTTATTTGGCCTTAATGAAATTTAGCATGTAGTGCTTTCTATTATAGTTTATGACTTACCTTTTCTCTTTTTAAAGGTAGAGTCTATATCCCCTATAACTATGTGCTCTGCAGTATGGCACATGTCTAAGTAGTAAAATATTGGGTACATCTCAACATTTATTTTTTATTAAACTAGGAACCCCTTGTAACCGAATGCTAGCTTCTCCACTTCCTGTGACCTGTTTCTCCCTGTGGTGTTTCCTTATTCCAGGTCTCTCAGTGTTCTTGTTCCTATTGCCTTTTCCTTTTGCTAACTTCTGGGCCTTCTCTTCACCATCTTCCATCTGGCTGTGGAGGTGACTACTAAATTGAATGCTAATTCAGACCTGGGTGCTCACTTACCATTAAGAATATTGTTCAGGTCAAAAGTTAAGGTTAAGTGGGATGTTGACAACCTGTGTCTTTTTAATTTCCAAAGCTTGCTTGTGATATTGTCTTTTTTTAACTTATAGTACATTTTATTCTTGATTCCTTTAGAAAGTATTTTGAGACTAACCTAAGAACTTGCAGTATTTCCCTCATAATTTAAAATATGATTAGCCTTCTTGTTTGTTGTTTAATCTTAGTTTATCATTTAAGTAAAAGGCTGAAGCAGTTGTGACTATGAAAATTAATTTACTATTTTTCTTTCCACAGTGACATTGTGAGGAAGATTGACCAGTCCGAATTTGAAGGTTTTGAGTATATCAATCCTCTCTTGATGTCTGCAGAAGAATGTGTCTGATCCTCATTTGCCAACTATGCATTTTGCTTGTGATGCCTTTTAATGCATGGATAAACATGTTACCAGCTTGAATACAGTGATAGAGGTTTAAAAACTAACCATCTTACATTTGCCACCCATGAAACAGCACTGAGTATCTTTCTTATTGACTATCAGGGGCAATTACTACATCTAAGTTTAACTACAAACAGAGGAGGAGAGAAACGCTAGTTTCCAGACAATCAGCAAGAACAAAACTCAGTTGTACTAGTTCTTTAGTGGCCTGCTTCAGAATTGTGAAGCTCTCTCGGTTGCTTCAGGCCATCCTGGCCACTGCTGTGAAAGAGTGTCTATTGCATTGAGTCACGTAGTGGGATTATATCAGGCCTCCGGCAATTTCTGTCATTAAGTGTTTAAATGTGGCATAAACGATTAATTCAGAAGACACTTCTTTTTATGTTACCTATTATTTTCTCTATGTTTAAAGCTTCAGCTGGAAATGTGTCATTGCCCTTGGTAATTAAGTGATTGATCTTAAGGCAACCAATTGTTAAATTGATCATAAGAAGTGTTGCTGGCATAGGCCTGGAGAACACAGATTCTCCTAGGGTAATGACTAGACACACTGTAATAAGAATCAGATCCTTAACTCTTTTTCAGACGCTGGCAAGAGTGATTTTTTTTTTTTAAAGTATGCTAAGGGAGTAGTTCTGAGCATGTTCCTTTAGCAGAACTAAGTGGAAAGTTGACAATGTGTAGCTCACAGGTCTCAGGATGCAGCTGATTGGCAGTGTCTCAGTATATGGAAAGGAACAAAATATAAATTTAAAACAGATGCAAAAAAAGTTAATGGTACTATTTATTTCTTATTGGAGAATAAATTTCGCTGCTCTACCTGACTTGACTTAAATAATGAGCCACTTGCTACCAAGCTTTTAAAAGCATTCATTTATTCCGTGGAGGCAGAACAATATTTTTTCCTGTAATTTAATATTCAAGAATGTAAATTATCTTTCAAGTAGAATATCTAACTATACTTGTCTCTCCCTGGCCCCCTCCCCAAGCCACATTGTGTATACTTTGAATCCTGTCTGTGGGATTTTCATTGAAATCCAAGAAAGGTCATAAAATAAACATAAGTTAATGTTCAGGACACACATCCGCTCACACACATCACAGTTCCAGCTCTTAAGGGAGCGTTTGTGAAGTGTAGGTAACACATGGACTAGAGTGGAGTACATTTCAGGGCAGAATGCTTTAGGTTATTTTTTAAATAATATTAGCATCTAACAGTTTGTTTAAAGTGATGCCAAATATAGCATCCTTCTGTTCTTTATTTTAAGTGGTTTTTTTTTTAATGAAAAGGGATTAAACAAGAGTGATCATCTAAGTAACTTACAATTGATCAATCTTAGTAAAATTAAAATTAGGGGATGCTATCTAGTCTTAAACTGAGAATGATTTTAAAATGATGAGCATTTAATAAATTTTCTTTTGGGGGAGTTAAATTTTGTTAGAAATGTAATTTCCCCAATTTTTGGCCATATCTTTTCGTTTCTTTGAATAACTAGGCGAGAAAACTTCAAAGGAAAATGTTAATTTATTATTACATGTTCATTTGAGAGGTATACTATGTTTCTGTTCATACCTGGAACGTAAAACATGAATCATAAACATGTCCTGTCAGAAGGGCGTGTATGACCCGGCTGCTGCTCCCTGCACGCATGGCGGTGTCACGAGTTGTCCACTGTGAGGGTTCCCTTGGGACTGTGCTCACAGCGCACTTCATGGGGCCGCATGAAAATGCCATGCGCCTTTTAACCTCAGTTTAAGAAATACTTTGTAAATTTTTTTTTAAGCCTGCGGTTAAATATTAGCATATTGGTGATAAAAAATTTTGAGGGAGAAGTGGTGAGTTACTATTATCTTACCCACAATTTTAAACAGATTTTGAATGAATGACTTCTTTAAGTTAATAATCTTCTCAAAAAAAAGGAAAAAAATCAGTTTTCTACTGATGATCTAATGTTACCCATGATGAACATTTTTCTATGATGAGGTTTTAAACCATTCTTCAGGTTGGATTTTTGTTTTCTGATTTTTTTTTTAACTAATAAGATTTAATGTGTGTATTTTATACAGAATTACATTACAAATAATGTTCGTTGTCTTTTGTCTTCTGTTTTTGCAATCTTTAAGTGCCATGACAACTCTCTGTATATTCTAGTAGATGTTCTCACAAAAGACTACGAGGGGAGTAAGGCAGTGTGATGATGGTCAGAATGGCTAGAATTTGGGTGTATTTTGCATAAGCATGATATCTGTGGTCAGAACATTTTATGTATACACAGCCTGGAGTCGATACCAGGTGTTGTGCTTGTTCCATACCGGTACATTTTCATGTTTAAGTTTGTTTTTGTTTCGTAATGTACAATACTGCCTTGGTTATCATATTGTAATCTGTATTTGCATTTTTTTTACTTTAAAATCTTTAAATAAAACATTTAATAACCATCTAGTGAATATGTTCAGAAATTTGTTGAAGAACAAAATTACCAAAAATTTAAAAAGAAAGAACAAAGTTACATTGAAACTCTTAAGAAGAAATCTGGGGGGGAAAGGTGAAATTTTTAGAGTTCAGAATTTTGGAATACTTAAAGTAGCATTCTAGTAGTTTGGATGCTAAATTGCGGTCATTCACTCATAAATTAATTATCCTCTAGTGTATTTTTAGTCTTACCTTTTCTCTTTTTTGGGGCTCATAATACATAGATCAATTGTGTAAAGCACACCTATACACTTGTTGCCCTATTCTTACCTTTTCACGCATCTCTTCTGGTGGTAAAAAAAAAAATCAGCTGAACACAGCATTGTTGCTTGTTTTAAGGCCAAAGCTAATTGAAGCAGTTTCAGAACAGATGATTTCCAGATTAGACTGTGCGGCTATCTGTTCTGTTCTAGGCTTCTAAAACTCTCTTGTAGCCAGTGTCCAGAAATAAACAGTGTGGGCCCGGAGTTTTATACAGACAGCCTTATTTACCGGAAATCATGATATTCTTCCCTTCGCAAGGGGAAGCAATCGATCTAAAGTACCTTTATTTTTTCTTTAATTGACCCATCAGTGAGCAAGGGCCTAGCGAGAGTTGTGTCTTCTCTGTTACTTTATCATTACTCCTGCTTAAAATGAAGTGCTACTCGAGCTTCCTCCCCAGGTCACCCTTGTGGTTGCTTTCTCTTAGAGAAGCTCCAGAGCTGTTTGAAGCCTGGAGGAAGTGTGTTCAGATGGTTAGTCATTGGGCGCCAAGCTGCTGCTTGTGTTCTGATTCTCTCTCCTGTGATATGTCATTAAATCCTAACTTACACGTCTGCCTCCGTATTTTACTGTTACTGTTAGGTGCCATTAGTCAGTTCCAACTCACAGTGTCCCTAGGTACAAGAGACTGAAGCACCGCCCAGGCCTGTGCCAATCCATCTTGTCCAGGTGTTAACTTGGAAGAGTTGTGTCTTAAAATCTGGCTTGAGTTTAGTTGTATGTCTGTGTACGTGTTATCTCTTTAAATAAGAAATATTTCCCTGAGACTACAGTGAACAAAAACAAAAAAAAAAACCCGCCATGGAGAAGAGGAGCCAGTGGAGGGGCCTGAGGGCTCAGCCCCCATACCAGCTACATGGACAACTGCCTCTCCCCGCAGAAGAGTTTACTTTAGAGGACGGCACTGAAGCTGCAGCTCCGGGAGAGGGCCATGTCTGATGAGAGCACACGGGAGCAAATGAATGGCGAGGAAGAGAGCAACACATCCTGGCCCGCCAGCTATCAAAAGATCTAGCGTCTGAGGTCTTAAAGGCTTGAAGGTAAACAAGCATCCATCTAGCTCAGAAGCATCAAAGCCCACATGGAAGAAGCACATCAGCCTGTGTGACCACGAGGTGTAGAAGGGACCAGGTATCAGACTTGAAAGAACAAAATATCATATCAGTGGGTGCCCACCTTCCTGATATGATCACTGAAGACAATGAAGACAAATGGGTGCATAAGCAAATGTGGTGAAGAAAGCTGACGGTGCCTGGTTATAAAAAGATAGCGTCTTAAAAGCTTGAAGATAAACAAGTGGCCATCTAGCTCAGAAGCAACAAAGCTCACATGGAAGAAGCACAGCAGCCTGTGTGACTACGAGATGTCGAAGGGATCAGGTATCAGGCATCAATGAATAAAAAAATCCTATCATTGTAAATGAGGGTGAGTGCAGTGTGGAGGCCTAAAGCCCATCTGTAGGCATCTGGGCACCCCCTTATGGAAGGGTCGCTGGGAGGAGATGAGCCAGTCAGGGTGCAGTGTAGCAATGATGAAACATACAACTTTCCTCTAGTTCTTAAATGCTTCCTCCCCCCCAATGTCATGATCCTAATTCTACTTTACAAATCTGGCTAGACCAGAGGAAATACATTGGTACAGATAGGAACCAGAAACACAGGGAATCCAGGACAGATGATCCCTTCAGGACCAGTGGTGAGAGTGGCAATACCGGGAGGATGGAGGGAAGGTGGGGTAGAAAGGGGGAACCGATTACAAGGATCTACATATAACCTCCTCCCTGGGGGGATGGACAACAGAAAAGTGGGTGAAGGGAGACGTTGGACAGTGTAAGATATGACAATATAATAATAATTTATAAGATCATAGGTTCATGAGGGAGGGGAGAAGGAGAAAAATGAGCTATATTAAGGTCTCAAGTAGAAAGCAAATGTTTTGAAAATGATGGCAACAATGTACAAATGGTCTTGACACAAAGGATGTATGTATGGATTGTGATAAGAATTGTACGAGTCCCCAATAAAATGATTTTTTTAAAAAGCACCCCAACATTCTTAACCTAGTACCAAGGTCTGAAAATTACAGCGCTGGGATGGGAGAGCGAATACAAGTCTATCTGCTTCGCCACCACCAGGGGCCAGCCTCTTGCTATAATGAAGATCAGTTACCAGCCTCCTTAGCCCTGTGGATGAGGGAGTGTTCACCAGAGACCCCGTTACCCAGAGGCTTCATGATTTTTATCAGCCTGCCCTTGTGTATTAGGATTTTACAAAGTTATTTGAGAAAATTGATAAGCCTTTTGAACTGCTCTTCTGAAGGAAAGCCCAGCTATATTATCTGGGAGATTCAGCAACTTTATATAGAATGACTTTGCCTTTTTCAGACATTTTGGCTGATAGAACGTCCAAATTCATTCAACACAAGTATGGGAGAGCCTACTACGTGTGTTCCCCCGTCCCCAATAGAGCACTATGGGATCCATCAAGCAAGAGTTAGTCTGTTCATGTTTCATGCTCACTCAAGGCCCTGCTACATCTTTGAAGGGCACCTTTAGTTGAAAATGATACAGCATCAGTTTGGATCACGTAGATCACGTATGAAGGAATCCAACGAAAATCCAAAGAATTGTCCACATTCTTGCATCGCTGCACTTTGTTTATGAGAATGTGGGCTGTTAGAGCAGTGGCTTCACGGTAAGGAGTTTGGAGGCGAGGAGCATTTGGGACGACACGGAGTTGGTGATTGCACAGCGCTGTGGATGCACTCAATGACACGGAATTGAACTTACGAGAAGTTTACCTCAAAAGAAAATCATGCCATTCACAGATTTAATCCACGAATGTTTGCTAAACGCTCCCATTGTCCATTAAAAACATGATCTTAAGAGACTTTGGACGCTGCTGCTGTTTTTCAAACGCTAATAAACACTGGAGGGAAGTAGATGCAAATCACCAGTTTGTTCAAGAAAGGCATTTTCTTGCCATTCTCGCCGAAAATTTCTTCCTCGTGCTTTAATTCTAGGCAGTTATTTACTTCATTGCCCAAAATAACTGATTGTACAGTGTGCCGTAAATTGCATCAAACAACCTCACACCTTCACAGGTTTTTCATCAACAACAACTTTTTTAGAGTTGTGTTGTTGACACCGCGTTCTAGTCTCCATTGTCACTTGGTAGTAACTACAGGGTAGGAAAGCTGCCCATTTACAAAATACCTTGGAAGTACTAGCATTTTTTTTTCCATTTTGAAATGAAGAAGGACACTTGCCCCTTTTGTAACAAGGCCTGATGTGTTTGTGACTCTTGATTCTCAGCAATGGCAATGGAATTTAAGCTTCGCGCAGACAGCCACTCAGTGTTCTGTCTGTGCAAACCTTCTCTGTGGATTACAATGGCCGGTGCTGGTAGAAAGGGGCTCAGCATGTTGAACACCTTGTTTCATTTACTCTGAACATTCTCTGACAATGAGTCTTCAAGTTTACCAGAAGCTCATCTGTGTCAATTTAAAATACAGGTTTCTGAGCCTTACACAGGGCCTATGGAATGAATGGGACCTGCTATTGGAGCCTCAAGCTAAATTCAGACTTTAAGAACCACTGCCTTCGTCTTAAGGCAATTTATGTAAAATTTGCTCTTGACAGTCAATCTCCCTTTGAGAGAATCTCTTTCATACACAAACCATACAATGAATGTACTTTGTTTTCCCCCCAAATCATTGACTTTTATTTAATAAAAAACAAACAACCCAGCACAACAAAGGTTAGTTGGTTTCTTAATGGACAATTTTTTCAACACCATCTTGCCTACCCCTTCATGACTATCCCTGAGGTGTGCCGAAGCCCTCAGTGCCTTTTCTGCAAGTGTTTATTTAACACTGCCAGCCTCTTCCATGACGCTGGACCCGCGTCTACCTCCCGACCTTACCCGTTCACATTGTACCTTTACAACTTTGGAAACCATCTGCCTGCATTCCCCACTGGGCCCCTCAGTTTCATAGACCTTGTCCTCCACCCGTTACTTCTGCATTCTGGTGTTCAGAGTTCAAGTTCCTTCACTTCATATACCCATGAAATACTCTATTGGACAGCTTAAGACCCCTCAAATGCCCAGAACCGTGTGGGAACCCATCAGTAACCCTTCCCTGGGTAAAAGCTTGGTGAGACCTCAATGTGGCTGACTCTGGGGGGCATTATGCTGAGTGAAATTAGTCAACGGCAGTAAGATCAATATTGTCAAATGTCAACTACATTCGTGGATATGCTTCAGCAAAGGTAAATATCCATGTACAAATATTATGTTAACCCTATCCATGAGTGTGGTGGTGGCGTGAACAGGGAGCAAAGCCATGAAAGCTTCTTAGAACCAGGCACCTTGAGGGAGTAAGTTGCTAGACCTGAGAGGGACACCAAGTTCAACGGCATAATCTAGTTAATACAGCCAATGCCGCTTTGGTGAGTAGCCGCTAGGATCTTCAAAGCTTGTGAGCAGCCATCTAAGGTATAACTTGATCTCCCCCTTCTCTGGAGTAGTAAAGAATGAAGAACATTGAAAACAATTAGTCTAATGGAGTACTAGACCACACAAATCTACTCTCTGGAAGGGATCATGTTAGAACAGCGGTTCTCAACCTGTGGGTCACGACCCCTTTAGAGGTCGAACAACCTTTTCACAGAGGTCGCTCGATTTATAACTAGCAAAATGAC